GGGTGTCCTGAAATATTCCTAACCACAAAACTAGTTTTATGTACAGTAATGTTTATTTTACCAAAGAAAAAGTCTTTGTGAAACATTAGGAAAGACCACTGACAGTCTAAGTTCTGGCAGTTTAAAGGGTTTTGACTTCTGTGCTCACTGCCAAGGTAAATCACAATGAAGCTGGGTCCAATTGAACTGTCCACCTAACGTGAAACCAAAAAAAAATAAAAAAATGCATGTGAATCGTTGGCAGTCGTGCATGTGTTTTGAGTATTAAACATGTTTGAGAGAGGCAACGTTAAACATAAGTGTTTCCAGTAGAAACAGCCAAAGATGAGTAGGAAAAAAATATTTTCATAATGTTAACAGGAAGAAAGGGCCAACACATCTACACACAGAATCACACAATAATGTGCACGTAGGAGCCCAGAATAGCTGGATAAATTGGTCTCTGCAGCTGTTTGATCCTCAGATGAGGCGGTTTTCTTGGCTGATTTCCAGACATCACAGAAAAAGTCATGGCAAGAAATTCTTGTCAAAGAAGATGAGAGACTTTTTCCTAATTCTCCCACCATAAAACAGACAAAACCTTTTTTTGTAAATGCAACTTCTAAGACCCCAGAGCTTATTTAAACTTACCAACATCGTCAATCTATTCTTCTTAACAGTTAAAAAATTGTGAGCAGCTGCTGCAACTGTGCATTCAAAGACTTGGCTTACTTATTAATGCTAGATTACAATAAAGCAATGTTTTTATTTAAAAGATTTAGACTTTCCAGATTTCTGTGGAAACTTGTATAAACTGACTGATGCAAAAATGTATACATTTTAATGGATGTAGAATATTTTGCATTCTAAAACAGTTTCACTAAACTGGCACAGTGTATGTATAGACTTCACCTAACCACCTAACCTATTGTGGTTAAAATTGGCATAATTTAAAACAAATATCAAAATGAATAAATTAATAAAACTGATTGCTTTTTGTATTTAAATGGATAAAAGGTGCAGTCTGCACAAATGATGTGTCGATATTATGAGGCAGAAATTCTAGTATAAATAGATTCACCTAAAACATGAGCATTTCTTTGCAACTCGTTTTTTTTTTTACAATCCAAAATACAGATGAACATCGTTCCCAGTGAAGCCTTTTGAGCCGATTTGATTCCAAGAGAAACATGAAAATCGAAGAAGCAGAAAAATGTAATAACTAGAACAAGACAGCGCACGTTTACTTGGAATCGCTGAATGCCTCCCCCTTCTGCTTGGTATTTATTTGTCTAAACTGTGGATAATGCCTGAGGCAGCTCCGTGACTGGTAATCCAGAAGGAAACATTAATATTTAAAACAGCGGTGCCCAATCCTGGTCATTGAGGGCTACTTTCCTTCATGTTTTTAATGTTTCTTTGCTTTGACAAAGCTGATTTGAATGAATGGCTGATAAACAGAACTCATTAACAGGCTCCTGAAGAATATGAAGACATGCTGAAGAGGAGGGAAATATCTAAAACATGCAGGACAATGGTCCTCAAGGACAAGGATTGGACATTTAAAACATGTTTAAAGGTAGTTGGCACTTGCTAACTGAAGGCTGGGGATACAAACAAAAAACGTGTTTTAATCGATGCATGAACATATTTAAATTATTGTGTGTAATTAAAGAAAATATTTAATTTCAGTGAATGCACATTTTGTTGCATACATTTCTTTTTCTTCTTTCAGCTGCTCCCTTCTTCAGGGGTCGCCACAGCAAACTGTCACACGAAGACTTGACAATTATTTTTACGCTGGATGCCTTTCCTGACACAACCATAGACCACTGAGCTACTATAGCCCTTTGTGTGGAGCAGAGAGCTGCTATCTGGGGCACCCAGGGGAGCAGATGGTAGGGCTTAAGGGCCTTGCTCAAGGGCCCAGAGTGGGCAAATGAGGGTGGAGGAAGGTGTGGTTGCTTCACATATCCCACCCACATTTTGATGTTGTCGGTACCGGGAGTTGAACCGGCGGCCTTCTGATCACAGACCCACCTTCTTTAACCTCTGCGCTACCACTCCCCCGTTGCATACATTTAATTTTACTATTAAAACTAAAGTTTTGTTTGGGTACCACGGCCTCCCTTTTGTACTCTTGTCTCATTTGAGACTCCAAATGTCTCATCACACCACCATGCACACACCCAAAAGTAAAAAGAAACAACGTGAACACCTTTCACCTTTTAACCTCTACCTCCTTTGCGTCTGTGGTAAACAGACATGCATGTGAGATGTAAAACATGTGGCCGTGTTCCAGTCTCATAAGTCTCTTCCATTATAAATGCCACAGAATAAACTAATTCACCCAGTTTGACACTAAACGTCTCACTGAATACAAAATATGTGAATAAATGCAGAAAAATGTCTGCGTAGCTTAACAAAGACAAACATTTCATGCAGAAACAGATTCCCTTGTCTCATTTTTTGCAAGAAAGATGTTACCCCTAACCTAACACCAGACTAATAATGCCTTGTGCCTTCGCTCAGCTGCAGACAGCACAGCAACACACACATCTAGCACCTTGTGAGACCAGTTGTGAGACCAGCAACTCATAGGAAACACTTAATAAAACAGATATAAGACACCCTGGACACACCTGCCACATCAGAACACATAACATATAGCAGTATACGCACAGAAACGTACAATGACTAACTTGTTCCAGATGGGATGGCTGTCAGAAGTCCTGCTGTTAGCACAAAACCTGTGCCAAAATCACAAGGTTTTAAAAACGTGTGCAGTGTGTTCACTGTGTGAATGAATCAATAGTTTAACCAAGTTCATGTATTCTAAACAGCACGGTCAAAATGCAGGTTCTTTTTCCCTAAAAGGATCAAATTCTAAAAAGAAAAGTGCAATACTCATAATTTGTTCGTTTCATTTAAAAATAATTTGCACATTTGTTGTATTCTTCTGTTTCAGTTCAATTTTCTGCTAACTTAAACTGCTCCAAACAATGTCTAAAACAAATAAAGATGCCAATAAAAGTTTAAATTAAAAAATTGTTAAGTGTAACTCACTTAACGGTTGTCCCCGAAGAGAAATACTGAATGGACAGTATGAATATTAATAAAGAATGTCTTTATTAACAAATCATTTTTATTTGAAATGATCATTTTAAATCTTAAAGAAGCAAATTAGAAAATTTTCTGGAAAAAACAAATTGCCATTAATGATTACTGTAAATTCAGACTACGTTTAAAATCAATCTATGTTGTTGTTGCTGTTGCACACTGCAATGCTACTAAAACTACAGCCAATGACAATTTTTCTAAAAGTATATTTTTGATGAGGTGCAGAACAATCGACAGCCGTACACATCAACCCAGGAACAGTTTAATAAAGATCTCTGATAGTTCACTGCAAATCTTCTCCCTCTGTATTTTCTTCTCCTGCCCCTTCTTTTTCATTTCTTTGTATACTTTCATTAGGAGATAAAATCCAACTTTTCCTACCCCTTCAAGTTTGTAATTTGTAGTTAAAATGTCCAATAAAACTTGTGTCCTGTAGCTCTACTTTGTCTGCTGTCAACTTGATTAATGGAACGACCGAGCTGAAGTAGAGGAGGAAACTAAAGTCAGCATCTCAGCACAACATTACACTAAATTTTAAAAAGTATCCTGTTTATTGTTCCCAGATTTACTGTACTCAGAGACCTGGGGCTGGTTCAAAAAGCCTCGCTACAGATAAAGTTTATAAATAAAAAAAAGCTAAACTTTTATCATTTCTCTGTTTTTTTTTAATTCTCCGTGCCTTTAGAATCATAGGTAAGTTGCATGTTGACCACTGCCTGCCAGGAGAGTTTCGACATATATTTTATAATTACACCAATAGAAACTTAATAATGTGATTAATATGTCCAAGCAAGCACGGACTAGAAGATAACCCTAAGTACAATAATTGACAGGATGTATCTGTGAGGTGCCAGACTCTTTCCCCAATATGGCAGGCTCTTGTCCTGAATACAGTTATTCTTGTAAAAAAAATAAAAAAATAGTTTAAGATAATCTTCAGCAGTTTAAGTGAGATGAAACCATCTCAATTATGAAAATTCAAGGTTTTGTTGACTTGCTCTTGCCATCAAACATGCTATCCATTTGTAACCGCTGCCTTCCTACCAGCCAATGACTTAGTATTTCACCCTGTTTTACAGCACCCTGATTTATTGTTTTATACACTGCTCTTATTTTAACTGCATTTTTACTGTTATTATTGTCTGAACTGTTCTGTCTAGAACAGGTCCCTCTTATAAATGAGTCCTTGTGGCTCAATGAGGCTAGCCTGTATAAATAAATGTTGAATGAAAAAAAAAAAACATTGTGTTTTAAAAGATCAGATTTTGGGAAGAAACAAAGACTTTAAAAGCAAACACGAGGTCTCAGCTGGTACAGAGAAAGGACGGAGAGTGATATAACTTAAAAACAGGTGAGCAGGAAATTAACAAAACAGCTGCTTACAGCGAACAGGTAAGGTACATGTGTTCAAGATAATCAGTATAGTAGACATGCAATCTGTGAAAAATGGTAACCTGAAGGCAGTGAGATGTTAAAAAAAAACAAGATAAGGTAAGATAAGATAAGATAAGATGAGATGAGACAAAATTTTATTGTTCACCAAGGTGGAAATTTCCCTTCGGCTCTCCAACCATAAAATAAAACACATTTATACCATAGTTAATGTTATCATTTGGTTTGGTAAGAATGGTTATTGCACTTGGAATAAATGACTTCTTATAGATGTTCTTTGTTGTCAGAGGGACCATACAACACCTTCATGAGCTCAGGATGGGTGCTATATTTTCATATTCAATATATATATATATATATATATATATATATATATATGCCATATTTGATTAAAATACAGCTCTGGCCATTACTCACCAATTCATTTGTAAAAAGAGAGAATAACACAGGAACAAAACATGGAACATTTTAGATGAACTGGAAAAGTCAAGAGTAATTGAACTGTTTACCTGTTCCTTCCCTGTCTGGATGCAATCTTCTCTGTTTCCAGGTAACGGGGGCCAGTAGATCTATGAACAAAGGCAAAAGGCGTTTATGAATAACTGTCTCATAACTATGTTATTATGCAAAGAGATGCCATCCTCAGCTGTATTGCAAAATATAATTGGTTTTGGGGAGCCACATAAATTTGTGGTTCCCAGTGCAAACATAACTATCAGTCTTGGTGAGTGCGGTGAATGTAAAATGTAAATTATTCTTCAGAAATGTTTGACTTTGCAAAGAATGGAAGCAAACTGACCAAAGATCGTGCACACATAATAAAACAAAGACTTTAAAATGAAGCCTTTTGTACAAGCAGTAAACGAGTTTATACAAGTGAACTTTTGCTTGTTAAAATCTAAAACCATAGAGAAGAAACAGATGTACTGTCTCTGTCCTTGACTCCAGAAGCCATCACTAATGATCACTTTTATTTTTGTTTGTTTACTGAGCTTATGAAAATGTCAATAAAAAGAAGCACTTTTGAAAGCTTTAAAACGTCTTCCTTCAGAGAATAAAAAAAGTTTTCAACTGTTCAGTGATGTAATGCTATTATCCCCACCATCATCGTTCTTTTCTGTTTAGTTTTCTTATCGCTGGTGATTTGGAGTTAATTTGAAGCAAACTGTTTTTGCTGCATTAGAGTCCCATCAGGATTTTCTTTCAACAATATGTCTCTCGTGAGCTTTGTGATTGTCCCTCCGTCTGTGAAGACTTTCTAAATCTGCACTTTCGTTCAGAAAAATGAAACCAGGTCTTAAGTCACAGATAAGCAGAGGAAGTGTTGTTAAACTGAAACTGCCCTCAGGCTGTTTTTCAAGACCACATGACTCAAATGAAAGAAGAAGAAAAGTACAACTTTCCTTAGTTTTAGTAATAAAGTTTTCACAGTAAAGTTTCTGATCTGGAACGTCACAAAGTTTTCATTGCATTCTGACTTTTACTTTGATTACTACTACTACTTACTGTATTTTATTTGTTGGATCTCAGATAACCATGAAATCAAACTTTGACCTAAGACATTAAGATTAAGATTACATTAAGATTGCTCTCACAAGGCTTTCTGAAAATCCAAAGTGAAATGTAATGGTCTCTAAACACCATATATGTTAAGGTTTAATGTCAGTGTGAAACTGTTGTTTTGTGCAGACAATAAGTCTTTGTCTAGTCAAATAGGAAACTGTCTTTGTTTTGGCCAACCAAGATTAAAAAAAAAAACCAACCAGTGGGGAAAGAAAAGGTCCAGATTTGCATCACTTGGGCTGATTGTACTCAGTATGTGTATGAACAGCATGTGCATGGGTGTAAAGCTCACATTGGAGTTATAGAAACAGAGAAAACTTACAAGAAGCTGAAAAAAAATCCTCTTGTCTCAACTCTGACCCACATTCTGTTCTTTGGCTTATCACAGATTTTGTGTCAGTGAAGTAAAACTGAAAGACATCTCCTCTGTCGTAAATCTAGAAACATAACAGTCCACCTGCAGGACTCAGTGTAAATCAAAATGAATGAAACTTGGCACCTAAAATTAAGCTTTGCATTACATTTTTTTTTTACATAAATATCTAATTGCAGGACCAGTTACCTGTTGGTTAGCAACTGGACAGGTGACCTGCAGACTGTACCCCTCCTCTCACCTGTTTGCTGGAAATGAGCTCCAGCCCCTTGGCAACCTTGAATGGGCCTAGGTGGTTATAAAGAATGAGAGCGGGAATGATGAAATGTTTATTTTTACTTTCACACAATGCTTGTATGAGAAAAAACAGCATGAAATGAACAGTCTACAACTGCGTTCTTGCTCAGTAATCCAGGTATAAAATCCAACAATGTTCATTCAGGTCTTTTGGACGGTTTCTTTTTTTGTGCTGAGACGTTTCGTCCGTCATCCAAAGGACTTCTTCAAAACTGAGGAACCACCAAACAAAACTGATTCTTCAGCAACTGCATACTCACCAGTTTGCTGGTGCTAGGACGGCCTCTGGGGCCTGCCCTCTCCCTCGTCAACTCCTCTAAGACCGTCATGTCAAAGTGGTTCAAAACACCAAAGTTCTTGCTCAATAATCCAGGTATAAAATCCAACAATGTTCAGTCAGGTCTTCTGGACGGTTTCTTTTTTGTGCTGAGATGAAACCATCCAGATGACCTGACTGAACATTGTTGGAGTCTACAACTTGTTTTTTAAAAGCCACTTTCCTTTCTGACCAGCAGACTGAAACCTGAGACTTTCTAACCGCTGAGATGTTTTCCTCAACAAACTGACTTCTAATAGAAAAGACACACCAGGAACAACATGTTTCAAGCCTGATTTAACTGAAAATATTGAAGGAAGGTCTGTGCCCATCTCTGACTTTACTTGATTTACAGGGACTGGTGGGACTGGTTCAGTCAGGCCTCACTCCTGGCTCCCAGAATCTCATTTTAGGCTTCTTGTGGCTAATCTCCACCTTCCATTCTTATTTAAGCCTTTTATAAACTATTTTATTCAAACACATTGACTCCACCTCACAAATGTGCTGTTTAATTTCAAGTTTTCTTTGATATTTGAACTTTAAACAAGCTGCAACTTTTTCATATGAACAAAGTCTTTTCCAGGTGGAAATCAAACACAAACTCTTTTGACATTAATCTGCATCTGAAAATAATCGAGGCTTTTTGAAGGAACAAAAGGTCCAGAAAAAACACACACACTGACAGTCAGGCTAAATCATTGGAAAATAAAAACAATTAAATGAAAACCAAAATAGATCAAAATAGATCACATAAATTTGAACTGCTGTACAAAACACCAGTTGAGGGATAAATATCAAAGGTTTGATGGAGTCCATTTACACTTAAAATATCACAACATTCATGAAAAGGTAAGAAATGTAGAGCTTTACTTTAGAGTAAATGACAAAAACACAAAAAAAGATAAATAAATCAACCATTTTCTTTGCTTGTAGCTCAGTAAATGAACATTAGAAGATCTACTTGATTCAAAAGTTGGAGTAAAACACAACGGCCATTAACAATCATTCGAATCAAAATCGTGTTCCACCAGAGACAAATGCAAGATTTCAACACGTGCTACGTTCATCAACACAGCACTTCTAACACTGTATCCCTTTCAGGCCAGATGGGATTACTCTGGAGTTCTAAGTAAACTGGGCCAGGCGTCACCTCCACAATCACCAAGGTAGCGCAGCTCGCACAGCTCAGTGAAGGAAACCAAACCCTGAGCAAAATAAACCAGTTGTCTGAACCTGAAGACACATGTGAAACGTCTGCAACAGCTAATTCCATTTCCACTCTGAAAAGCACCCGCATGAAGTAACATTACATATACTATACAATAATTTAAAAAACAAGAGTTTCAGATCCTGTTTAAATGTGTGTATATTTTAAGAGTGAGAAAGAAAGAAAAAACACATTTATCTACATTTTTAAGGAAGTTGATTAATGTTAAGTGGATACTCAACTTTAAATAAGTGGAAAAAACTGCACTAAATTAGACTCTTTAGTTTAAACTGAGTGTCATCTGATTTTTATTTAACTGAAACCTTACGCAAATAAATACCTTCACATCTTTATCAGATTGTTTTAGTCCAAATGGTTTTTATGCTAGATACAAATAATTTGAGCTGAAGAACCAGTGTGATAAAACAGATTAAAGGCTGTGCCATTATTATGCTGATTCAGTTTTTATTTTACATTTTTTAAATTAGTTAAAATGTCATTAAAGGTTCGTGTACAGTAAAAAATATGTATTGCAAACATAATGTTTAAACTGAACATATTGTCATAAAATCTTTGAAAACTCATCCTGACTAAAATCAGAAGGACCTTAAGATCCATCCATCCATCCATCCATCCATCCAATTTCTTCTCCTGGTTGGGTCACATAGATAACAGGTTCAGGAGGGAAATCCAGACATTCCTCTCCCAAGAAACACTCTCCAACTCCTCCTGGGATATCCTAAGAATTTTCCTGGCCAAAAAGGATTTATTTTTCCTCAAGTGAGTTTTTGGTCTGCCATGAGTTCTCCTCCCAGTGAGAAGTGCCTTGAAAACTGGAATGGCAACCAGGAGGCTTCCTAATCATATGACCTGACCACCTCACCTCTTCCATTCCGTGTGGAGGAGCAGCAGCCCTACTCTGTGCTCCCCTAAATGATGGAGCTCCTCCTCTCATCTTTTAGGTTTACCTGCTCACACTACAGAGAATGTTTATTTCAGCCGCATGTACATGGGATCTTGGATTTTTTGGTCATGATACATCTCATGACCATAGCTGAGGGTTGGAACATATATGAACTAGTAAAGTGAGAGTCATCATTCAGCTCATCGCCTGAGGCCATTTGTTTGCATTACACTGTGCAGGTTGATGCTTTGCTGGCCCAGATGTGCAGGACTACATCTGAGACTGGTTGGCCTCTCTTGACTCCTCCCTATGGACACCCGTCTACATCCTGGTTGGACTCTTCATCTCCTGCTCCTCCAACTACAGACGAGGCTCGTCTATTTAAGTCCAGATCTGCTGTTGATGGGCGGAGCAGCTCGCCACACTGTATGAGTCTTGGCTCAGTACAATGTTTGACCTTGGCTTACTTGATGCTGTTTCGAAATGTAAACCAATTACTTGCCAAGTTTGGTTAAAAATGATGATCAAGTGTTTGGTTTGAGGCCTGCTTTGTTGTAATTACTGTTAGATTTGTAAGTTTCTGGAGGCAGACGCAGGAGTCTTACTTGTGGAAATCATTGTTTTTGTCTACAGTTTTGGGTTTATCGGTAAAAACTTTTCTTTGTAATTTGATTGTTGTAAAAGAGTTGTTTTAGTAAGTAATTCCTTCCGACTTTAGTTTGTTATTTAAAGCTATGTATTGAATGTACATGAAAATATTAAAACTTTAGTTGTCTGTTTTATTTTTATTGTCATATTGTTGTTCGTAAATGCTAAATTTGTAAACCATCGCTAATGGTAATCTGTACTGTTAATGTTACTCTCCTTTTGTTTTATTTGTTAAAAACATGTGCAGCTGAACAATAAATCAGTTTATTTTTTTCAAATCTTATTTCCATTTAGTTTATTGTTATTTCTCCTTTTCCCTGGCTGAGCTGGGTCATGATAGCTCAGAACATAATTCACTACTACAGACCGGAGCAACATTCACATTGCTGCAGGTCAACCTCCTGCTCCATTCTGTCATCCCTCATGAAGAAGACTCCAAGATCCATGAACTACTCCACTTGAGGCAAAGATTAACCTCCAACCCTGAGAGAACCTCTTGAGCGTTAATGTACATGGATGTCTTGTGCTGCCTGGAAATTTTCTGCAACAAAGATAAAGACTAACATTTCATTTATCGAAACTATTAACTTCAAGAGCTTGTTTATCTGGCTGATGGATTTTAACTTGTAAATTTTTTCACGGTGTAAACGTGGGCTAAATCCTGCAGAAACAAGAATATTCAGTGTTAGCCTTCAGCGATGGGACCATCAGCTGAGGCTGAGAGAGCAAAGTATATAAAGAAGTAGATGTGGGCAAGGACGGGCTTTCTGTGTACTTTTACCCATTAATTTTGTGCCGTTCCAGCCGCTGTGACCAGTCACAAAGACATGCACACTTCTGTTCTGTCTGCCCCTTGCTGGACCACACTGGGGGTATCACCTTTAGACTGTTGTTTTTGCTGAGTATAAAACCGTGGATTGGTGTGCAGAGTGCATTCCAACAGTACAGTAAAGTACAGTACAAACATGTTTATGCAGCACATTTACCATTCTGGAAACACATGCTGGTGAAATGAAACCTTAATCTAATTTTGACTCCTTTATTTCCCTGATGACAAAAACCTTTCAGCAAAAGTTCATTGGAATCTCATAAGATTTGATTTAAAACTTTAATACCTCACTAAATCTACAAATTATACCAAAAACTCATCTACTGTTTTGTGGAATAAATTACATTAAATAAGGAATCAATTCTAATTTGAGACATAAAATGTACATTTGTTGTTTTCATGCTGTATTTGGGCTTGATGAATTAAGACAATGCAAACAAATATATATTTATTTACTTTTTTATTTTGAAATTTGCTGTGCTTCAGTTATACTTCCTTTCAGAATACTAGAATAAAAAACATCTGAACTTATATTACAATGTGGGATCTAAACAACAATTGTTTCAACAGATGCAGTTTTGTAGAAATGTTTGTGTTTAAATAATATTTTATAGGTTATCTAAAAAAGTTAAATCCGGTCCTCTAGACATTCAAAAAAAAAAAAAAAAAATATTGTAGAAACGTTTTTTCTTTCATCTGAAAGACTTCTTCAGTCTGAGGTGCTGTATTCAACTCTGTGGATAAATACATCAAGTTCACACGAGAAGATGTAAAAAATGGCAGGTTGGCTTTCTTGGACTGTGAGGTCTCAGTTTCTGATAGAGAACATTTGCAAAACGAGGTGTACCGCAAACCCACCCACACAGACCAGTGGCTTTTAAACCCCAAAATACATTACGGCAAAGACTGGTTCATCCCAAAGATCCAGTCCCCCGGCACAAACAGAGTAATGTTGTGTATGCTGTTCAGTGTCAGGAGGGCTGTGATCAGTCTTACATCGGGGAAACAAAACAGCCACTGGCCAAAAGGATGGACCAGCACAGAAGATCAACATCATCAGGCCAGGACTCTGCGGTCTACACTCATCTCCAGGCCAGCGGTCACTCTTTCAGGGATGAAGATGTTCACATCCTTGATAGAGAGGAACAATGGTTTGAGAGAGGAGTAAAGGAGGCCATCTTTGTGAAGAGAACCCACCCATCATTAAACAGGGGTGGAGGCCTCTGTGTTCAACTGTCCCCCTCTTACAATGCTGTGATTGCTAGTATCACTCAGCCCTCTGTGAGTAGTAAACAGCCATCAGTGTGCTAATGAGCCATTGTTAGGCTGATGGTCCTTCTTGACCATGTGATCAGCTGGTTTTGGTTGTCAGAAGCAAAACTGGTTGATCCACTCTGAGAAGGTGCTATTTAAGAGACTGAGCTGAAAACAGCACCTCAGACTGAGGAAGTCTCTCGGATGAGAGACGAAACGTGTCTATATTTGTTTTGTTTTTTTGAATGTCCAGAGGACCAGATTGAACTTTTTTAGATTTTTCTACCTGGATTATTGAGCATGCATCAGGATATTTTATAGGTTAAGTCTATTTTTAATTTTGATTAGTTCAGCCATGTTTTCTTTCTGTTTGATCATGTTCTTGTTTTCAGTATGTTTAACGTCACTTCATGTGACACTGACCATTGTTTTTCTTAGTGCATCTTTCATTTTAGGCAATTATTTATACCCATTCAGCATCTCACTAGCCTCACTGGAACTCACTCAGTAATCACCCCTCTGCATACTTACATCCTTCAGTCATTAACAAAAAAGGTTAAATCGTGTCATCTGGACCAGCTTCTTTAATGTTTTGTCCCACATCCAGAGGACTTCTTCAGTATACGGCCTAGACTGAAGAAGTCCTATGGATGGGGAGGAAACATTTCTCACTTAAAGAAACTGGTCCAGACGACACAATTTAACTTCTTTTTTGTTATCTACCTGTATGATTGATACGACCCTTTACCCTTCACTCACTGTTTTGTCAAACTCTTCCTGGTTCTTGTTCCTCGTTGGTTTTCCTTCCACTTCAGTTTTTACTTAGCTGTCTTTATGTTTGCACCTTGGGTATTCATTTTTCTTAACACTCTATTCTTCATGTTTTTGTTAATATGATACATCTGTGTTTGACAAGCAGCAATGATGAACTAATTAGATCCAGAATATTTTAAAATCAAAACTCCGAGTATCTTCACTGTCAAAAATGTTTGCACATCAGAAAGTATATAGTTTGGCAAAGGGAGTGAAACTTAAAATTTCACATAATTTATGTTAAGATTCAGGAAAGAAAGCAGTTTGCACTGAATGAAGGGCAAGTGCCGAGCAGCAAAGATGTGATCGTGTCATCCTTTGATGTAGATATGAAAATAAATCTTTTATAATTTTTTTTTTTCCACGTTTCACCCATGATGCAATAGCAACAAAACTACATGAGACATCTGTGAAAGTTTGCCCCTCCACTCCCTGTTAATGCATGATTTATAGCAGAATAAACCTAAACAGATGTTTTGCAAAAGAACATTTCTGGAAATAAAGTAAATCTTGAGCGTATCATTAGCCATAAATCATCATTTCACTGACCACTTACACTATATCGATAACGTGCAAAAATATACAATGCAATACTTAACTTTTCACAATACATCACTTTTGCAAAAGAACACAATATGTAGTTTTCTTTAATATTTTTAATTATTTGCTTTGTACTGAAACCTCACCTCTTTAGATTCACTGCTGATGGGACTCAACATGAGGGAGTACAGGACGTCTTTCCCCCCCAGAAAGAGTCGATCGCGGTACTCATCCAGAAAGAGAGCGCTAAGAGAGAGCTGACCATCGTACCCGCTGAATATGGATGACCGGTTGGTGGACAGCAGGTCTGCAGAGGGAAAGGAGAAAATAGTGAGCTCTGAGATACTGAAATATATGGCTCACTGCAAGTAAATGCAGTTTTTTTTTTTACATTTCATGTGTATTTGAATAAAATCGGCATTCTTTCACGCATTTGTTTTGCTGTTAGGTAGGAATTGGCTATGAGTTGTGAGGAAGCAGCCAAAATGTTCATGAGATAAAAGTCCAAAATTGCCTATTTCTTTTGCACATTAAAAAAATACCTGCAGCATCCAGTACAGAATGAAAATTGTTGTGAATGTTTTACTTCAGCCATAACAGCTTGGAGACAGTTAAGATGGATTGCCTCATCCCTGAGAACTCCAGCTGCATCCAGGATTCCCTGATAGGACTTTGGTTTTGTTCGCAAACAAACTTGTACCTTTTTTTCCGCTCTTCTTGCAATACTTACAGAACCAACACGACAAATTAAACATTAGACGTATACTTAGTATGACAGGGTAATAAAAAAAATGTTAGAAAATTGAACAATAATGTATTTCAAATTAATTAACATCCCATGGCAACATTTCCTCAGTGGACTGACAGCACAGACACAAAGGCTCTGTGCTGCTGGGAGACATGGGTTGAATTTAAATTTATAGAGACACAGGCTGTATTAAAATATATATATACACACATACTTTTTTTTAACCTTTTTTTTTTAGCTGCTCCCTTCTTCAGGGGTCACCACAATGAACTAACTCGCACAAAGACTTGGCAGTTGTTTTGACACCGGATGCCCTTCCTGACACAACCACAGACTTGAGCTACTACAGCCCTCTGTGTGGAGCAGAGAGCTGCTACCTAGGGTGTCCAGGGGTGCAGATGTTGGGGGTTAAGGGCCCAGAGTGGGGCAAATGAGGGTGGAGGCAGGTGTGAGTATTTCACCTTTCCCAACCATATTTTGATGTTGTCAGTCCAGGGAGTTGAACCAGCGACTTTCTGATCACACGCCCACCTTTAACCTCTGTACCACTATTCCTCCACATACATGTAAATACAACCTCAAGCCCACTGGTTCCCAGACTCACAGCTTAAACTCCAAACACGAGCATCAGACTCTCCTGCTTTGTCTTTTGATTTGGTTTCTTCTTCTTTTGCTTCTTTCTCTTTCTGTCGAGGTGAAGCAATGTGGAGAGAAATATACACGAGAGGATGTCGTCGGCACGCCACACTCTCGATGAAAGAGTCGCAGGGCTGAATCGACTTTCTGCCCATCTCTCATCACTCATCCATCAAACTCTCTCACTCAACTCAGTACCCGCAGACCAGAATGCACACGCAAACACAGACATGGTGAGAAACGAGCTCGAGTCACTCACCACTCAGCAAGAATATTGACAAAGTGAAGCTCAAGGGCCTCGTGATACCTTGTCCATCACTGGGGCACAGAGATGCACATACACATCTGATCTGTTTCTCTTCACATCCACGTTTCTCACACACATAAGCTTCTGCGAAGGTCTGGATACTTCCCAAAGGTTTTTGTCTTTTTATTTATCTAGTAGTAATTTGCTTGTTTTAGATCACTTGACAAATTGTGACAGAGACATGTCTAGTACTTCGTAAAACCAAAAGTAATCTGAGATTGGCACCAGTCCTAATCTACTGGGCCATTTATGGATAAATTACAGGAATTTGGTTCATCTTTAAAAAACAATGATATTTAAGCAGCTTCCACTTTGTTAAAGACACAAGCTTTTGCTTTATTGTAAATAAAGTGCACATGACCCTGTTGCTATACAGATGTGTCAGATTATGAATAATTGACATATAATGTTGCTTTTTGTAATTGTGTGAACACTTATGAAGCACTAACACAATTGTGATCCATTTTTCTTCTGTACGTTTTTTGGCATCTTTCTCATTACATAATTTGTGTGCTATTTCAACAAATTACATCAAAACATTCAGCTCTTTCAGGACAATCCTGCTATGACTTTTGGTTTTGGTACAACTTTAGCTTTTTGAAAAGAAAAAAAAAAGTATTTTCTGCCACATTTTTCCTCATAGGAAATGAAATGAGCTAATTTTACATCTTTCAAATCTTTAGATCTGTTTACAACCTTTTCCTGCTCCTTTCACATTTTGTTCTGGTTCAGCTTCTTTCAGCTCTCTTGTGCAAATTTGAACTTTTTTCAGCTAATATCAGCTGTTTTGTGCTCCTTTTAGATTCTTTCTGCTAACTACAACATTTTTGTGCTTCTTCAAACTTGTCTGCTCCTTTCAGCGTATTAATGCAAGTTTTAGCTTTCTCTGCTATTTCAGCTACTATTTAGCTGTTTTTATACTTGTTTTAGCATTTCAGCTAATTCCACATTTTTTGCTCTAATTTCAACCTTTTTTCAGCCTAATTCAGCAAAAATGTGCTCTCTCCACTTCCTTCTGGTAGTTTAAGCTTTTTTCTGCATTTTCAGCTAGTTTTCAGCTACTTTTTTGTTCATTTCAGCTTTTTATAGCTAATTTCCTCATTTCTGTGCTCATTTCTGCATATTTATACCAAATTCAGCAAATATGTGTTCTTTCTGGTTTCTTCTGCCAACTTCAGGTTCTTGTTTTACTTAAGCTAGATTTCAGCATGTTTTTAGCTAATTTCAGCTGATTTTCAGCAAGTTCCTCTCAAATAAGCGTTCACACTGCATTTTCGCAGGAAATGCAATTTCTCTAGTTAGACAGTTATGTTTGTTTCCTCTTTAGTGAGACCATGTACAGTCCATCCAACCTAAACAATTAAATTCAAACACCCTTTCTCTAAATTGCCTTCAGTACAAAGTGCGGAAGAGACAGAAGCTGCAGAACTGAGTTCAGCAAAGGTAACCTTTTTATGTTGTGTTTTCTTCACAGCAGTCAAATCAAAACCAGGATGAAATACAAATAAACCATGTCCTCCGCTGAGGCTCATCAATATTAGAGTTTATTAATTGTTGTTAGAAAACACTCCTAATTAGACGGCAACGATTGAAAGAGTTTGACAAATAAGATGCGTACAGGAAACTTTGTAGCTGCTGGCAAGAAAATAATGAGGAGATAGGAAGGAGGAAGTCATCAGGGATTTTTAGAAGGGAGTTAGTCAAACTTGGACAACATTAAAGCAAGAAAGTTGGAAAGAGGCTGAAGGCAGCGTGGCTTTTATGAGCAGCTGAGAGCCAGAAAATAATGAGCAGGAGGAAGATACAAAGAAAGCCGCGAGGCAGGATGACAGCTGATGGATTTTGGGGCTGTTAATGAAAATAAAAAGCTGGAAAACAGTAAGGAAATCCTCTTGCCATTTTATTTTGCACCAGATTGTCTCACATATGTGGCAATGCAATTTATATATATATATATATATATTTTTTTTTTTTTTTTTTTTT